GAGAAGGAGGAGGAGGAGAGAGAAGGAGGAGGAGGAGAGAGAAGGAGGAGGAGGAGAGAGAAGGAGGAGGAGGAGAGAGAAGGAGGAGGAGGAGAGAGAAGGAGGAGGAGGAGGAGGAGGAGAGAGGAGGAGAGAGAAGGAGGAGGAGGAGAGAGAAGGAGGAGGAGGAGAGAGAAGGAGGAGGAGGAGAGAGAAGGAGGAGGAGGAGAGAGAAGGAGGAGGAGGAGAGAGAAGGAGGAGGAGGAGAGAGAAGGAGGAGGAGGAGAGAGAAGGAGGAGGAGGATGTTGAGGACACTGAAAAGGACATGGAGAAGGGCATGGATGGAGCAGGAGGACACAGGTGGAGGACCTGGAGGTCCTGGAGGAGGAGGAAGCTGAGCCCGAGGTTCCTTCCAGCCCGACCAGCCCTGCTGGGCACTCTGAGGGTTCCCGGGGGCTCCGGGAACTCTGCCCCTTCCCACTGGGAAGCAGCTCCTTGGATCCCCCTTCCCAGGTCTCCACCTTCCCAGCCCATCCCACCAGTGCAGCCAGCGATGGGCGACGGCCCTGCCAGAAATGGGGGGGCTGGGGAGGAGGCTTTGTTTCCATGGAAAAACATCCAGAGGGAGCCAAAGGAAACTGGAAGTGTCCAAACTGCTGGAAAATGGGCAACATCAACCCTTTCTTTTTTTTTTGGGGGGGGTGAAGCATCAAGGAAGCCCAAGTGAAGGTGCTGAGATGTGGCCACCTCCTCCATCCCAACCTCAGCGCCCGTTCCCACCTCCAGGAGCCCCAAATATCCCTGGTTTCCTCCTCCAGGGAGACCTTTGGGGGGTGCTGAGGTGGCCCCAGAGGTGACACCTGAGCTGTGGGTCCCCCAAAGGTTCTCCAGGCCAAAACTGAGGGGGCTGGAATTCCCTTCCCTCTCAAAGACACTTCCAGTTTCCTGGATCATCGACGCTCTGAGCCCGGGGTTGGGAGGGAGGAAATGGGAAACTCTTCCCCATCTGGTGGGAACGCTGCCCAGAAGTGGGGAGGCTGGAGGAAAACCTTGGGGTGGGGCTGGAAAACACCAGTGGTCGCCCCACGTTGGTCCCCATCACTGGGAGCCAAACCCCACAGGCTTCCCAAGGGGTTTTGGGAGCAGTGAATCCCAAAAGAAACAGGTCAAGGAGGAAGGGAGGGACCAGTTTCCCCACCTTGTCCTTCCTCTGCACCAGCCAACTCAGTTCTGGGAAGCAAGAGACCTTGGGTTGGGTCTGGAAGGTCTTTCTGAGATGGGTTTGGGTTGGAAGGTCTCTCTGGGGTTGGGACTGGGTTGGAAGGTCTTGTTTGGGGTTGGTTTTGGGTTGGGAAGGTCTCTATGGGGTGGGACTGGGTTGGAAGGTCTTTCTGGGGTTGGTTTTGGGCTGGAAGATCTTTTCTGGGGTGGGATTGGGTTGAGAAGGTCTCTCTGGGGTTGGGATTGGGTTGGGAAGGTCTTTTTTGGGGTTGGTTTTGGGTTGGGAAGGTCCCTCTGGGGTTGGTTTTGGTTTGGAATGTCTTTCTAAGGTGGGATTGGGTTGGAAGGTCTTTTTTGGGGTTGGTTTTGGGTTGGGAAGGTCTCTCTGGGGTTGGTTTTGGGTTAGAAGGTCTTTCTGGGGTGGGTTTGGGTTGGAAGGTCTCTCTGGAATGGGATCTGGAAGGGAAGGCCTCTCTGGGGTTGGGTCAAGGTCTGGAAGATCCACCTGGTGGCAATTTGGGTTGGGAAGGCCTTGTTTTGGAGTTGATTGAGGGTTGGGAAGATGTTTTTGGGGGTGGGATTGGGTTGGGAAGGTCTCTCTGGGTTGGAAAGTCTCTCTGGGGTTGGGATTGGGTTGGAAGGATTTTTTTTGGAGTTGATTTGGGGTTGGAAAGGTCTTTCTGGGGTTGGTTTTGGGCTGGAAGGTCCCTCTGGGGTTTGGAAAGGTCCCTCTGGGGTGGGATTGGGTTGGGAAGGTCCCTCTGGGGTTGGTTTTGGGCTGGAAGGTCTTTTTTGGGGTTGGTTTGGGGTTAGGAAGGTCTCTCTGGGGTTGGGAAGGTCTCTCTGGGGTGGGATTGGGTTGGGAAGGTCCCTCTGGGGGGCGATTGGGTTGGGAAGGTCCCTCTGGGGTGGGATTGGGTTGGGAAGGTCCCTCTGGGGGGCGATTGGGTTGGAAGGGTTTTTTTGGAGTTGGTTTAGGGTTAGGAAGGTCTCTCTGGGGTTGGGAAGGTCCCTCTGGGGGGCGATTGGGTTGGGAAGGTCCCTCTGGGGTGGGATTGGGTTGGGAAGGTCCCTCTGGGGTGGGATTGGGTTGGGAAGGTCCCTCTGGCAGGGCTGTGCCCATCCCTGGTGTCCTCTCCCAGCTCTACCCCACCCTGTGGGTACTTACCAGTATCTCACCCTTTGGGGGGCACAAAATTAAGGGGGGGAGGGGAGGAGTGAGGGAGGAGAAAGAGAAGGAGGAAAACAAAACAAGACCAGGAGAAGACAGAAAACAAAAGGTGGAGGAAACCAAAGGGATGGAGGGAGAGGAGCAGGAAGCACAAAGATGGTGGGAAGAAACAGCAGAAGAGAAACAGGGACATGCAATTAATTATTAATCATCATTTTGGGGTTAATGTCTCATCTCGTTCCGTCCCAACGTCGCGTGGGGGGGAAGGGCCTGGGCCCCTCCAGGATTCCATGGATCTACTCAAACCCTGCTTCTGGAAGATCTCCTGAGAAGCCACCATCCCTGCTCCATCCTTCCCATCTCCAACCCCAGACTGAAATTCCCCTCCAGGATTCCATGGATCAACCCAAATCCTGACCCTGGATGAGCCCCCATGGAGCCCCCATCCCTGCTCCATGACCTGGAGGCTCCATCCTTCCCATCCCAGTTTCCCTCTCCAGGATCCCATGGATCAACCCAAATTCTGACCCTGGATGAGCCCCCATGGAGCCCCCATCCCTGCTCCATGAGCTGGAGGCTCCATCCTTCCCATCTCCAACCCCAGACTGAAATTCCCTCTCCAGGATTCCACGGATCTACTCAAATCCTGCTTCTGGGAGCTCTCCTGAGGAGCCCCCATCCCTGCTCCATCCTTCCCATCTCCAACCCCAGACTGAAATTCCCCTCCAGGATCCCATGGATCAACCCAAATCCTGACCCTGGATGAGCCCCTATCCCTGCTCCATGAGGCTCCATCCTTCCCACCTCCAACCCAAGAGTGAAATTCCCCTCCAGGATTCCATGGATCAGCCCAAATCCTGACCCTGGATGAGCCCCCATGGAGCCCCCATCCCTGCTCCATGACCTGGAGGCTCCATCCTTCCCATCTCCAACCCCAGACTGAAATTCCCTCTCCAGGATTCCACGGATCTACTCAAATCCTGCTTCTGGGAGCTCTCCTGAGGAGCCCCCATCCCTGCTCCATCCTTCCCATCTCCAACCCCAGACTGAAATTCCCCTCCAGGATTCCATGGATCTACTCAAATCCTGACTCCTAGATGAGCTCCTGAAGAGCAAACCCTCCTGCTCCCTGACCTGGAGGCTCCATCCTTCCCATCCCAGTTTCCCTCTCCAGGATCCCATGGATCAACCCAAATCCTGACCCTGGATGAGCCCCCATCCCTGCTCCATGAGCTGGAGGCTCCATCCTTCCCATCTCCAACCCCAGACTGAAATTCCCCTCCAGGATCCCATGGATCAACCCAAATCCTGACCCTGGATGAGCCCCCATCCCTGCTCCATGAGGCTCCATCCTTCCCACCTCCAACCCCCCAAGGCTCTGGTGGACCAGTTGGGATCCCGTCATTCCAGGATCCTGGAGAGAGCTCCTGGAGAAGCAGCTCCATGCCCATACCTGGTTGGGGATGGCCCTTTTCTTGTTGGTCTGGGTGTTCCTCTGCTGGGCACTGGAACCAAAGCAAATCCAATTAATCCCATTCATTAATTAATCCCATCAATCCCATCCAAGTGGTTTCACACCAAGCGAGCCCGGAACCCGATGCGTTTCCCACCCGGAGGAAGAGCCACAAATCCCAAGGGATCAGCCCCATCACACACCATCTCATCCAAACCCCCTTCCCGGGAATTCCAAGGACAGGAAGGGGGGGAGGACACAGACCATTCCCACCTGGAATGGTCCCAGCTCCTTCCTCACCACCCTCCTCTCCTGGGACACCCCGTGCCGGGGGGACACGCAGGGAACATCAAGCACATTCCCAAGGGATTTCATCCCAGGAGCCCAAGCACCACCAAGGACCAGAAGGATCCATCTCCCAAGGCAAAGAAACCAAACTTGGGAGCCTCCTGGTTTTTCCCAGCCCAAGGTTGGAATCCAAAGAAGTTCCCAGCACCAGGGAAGTGCTCCCTGGGATGAGGGATGAGGTTTGGGATGGGCTGAGAATGGGAACAAAATCCATGGACACAGGAGAACCCAGGGAGCACCAAGGGGGGGACATTCCCTAAGGAAAGGGATGGGCAGGATCCACCAGCTCCCAACTGGACCATTCCAGGTGGGAACGATGGGAACTCCTTCCCTGCCTGATCCCCAACTCAAATCCTTGGGATGAAGCTTCTGGGAAGAGCTTGTTGGGCAACACCAGATCCCAAAGCTTGGAGGAGCTTTTTCCAGTGGGAGCTCCTGGGAAAAAAATCCCTGTGGGAAGGGGAGGGTGCAAGCAGGGGGGGAGGGGGCATGCTGGGGTGACAGTACCCACTCTGTGGGGACAGTACCCACTCTGTGGGAACAGTACCCACCCTGTGGTGACGTGCTGCTCAGTGTAACAGCTGTGGGAGTGGGAGGAGTTTCAGAAGAATCCAGAGGGAAAAAAAGAGTGGGAAGTGGTGACAGTTCAAAGGAAAACCCAGGAGAGATGAGGAAGAAGAGGAAGGTCAAGTGTGAGAGGAGATGAAAAGAGGGAGGGGAAAAAAAAATGGGGGGGGGGAAACTGAGGAAAATGGGAAGGGAAATGGAGGGAAGAGGAGGTGCCAAAGGTGGGGACGCTGGGAAGGGTCACTCAATTCCGAGCTGAAGGGATCTCGGGGTGTTCCCCAACATTTGGGATCATTTTGGGGCTGATTGGGAAAGGGTGGGGGAAGGTGGGAATCCCACCCCCTTGGGAAAGGGGACAGGACAAAGGTCACATCCCCTGCAGAGCCCTAATTAAGCTAATTGGTCGTTAGTGGCTCCTCTGGCCCAGGGTTGTTCCCACCCACACCGAGCGGAACTTCCCGACTTGGGGCAAAAGGGGCTGGTTTTGGTCAATTGCAGAGGGAAGGAGGAGGTTCCTGCCCCCCCATTCCAGGTCTGCTGGGGGGGGACACGTCCCTGGGGGCACCTCCCGGGGTGGGGAGAGGGGCTGGGACCCCTGGCTTGGCTGGGGGATGTGGGGAAGGACTCACTTGGCGAAGCCGATGAAATCCTCGTGGTTGGTGTTGATGTAGGAGAGTTCGATGTCGATGAGCAGCAGGATCTGGGGAGAGGGGACACGGGGTGGGATGTGGGATTTGGGGATGGGATGGGGGGGTTGGGATGGGATG